GGGAAAAAATTTTTCCCCAAAAATGTGAAAAAAAAAAAAAAAAAAAAAAAAATATATATATATATATATATATATATATGATACTAATATTCAATAATTAAGTTTATAAATAATAGCCTTTATATTTGTAGTCCACCTTTTTCTTTAGTATATCCAAAGTATTTTTCAGTCAGAAAACAAATACTTATCTCTAAAAATATTGAGATTTACTTTTTTTAAAAATAAAAGGTGATTTAATGTATCTTTTAAATATTCCAACATCATTTCATGCTCATACATGTTCGTGTTCATGTTGGGATGCAAGCAAAGTCCCACATCATTAAATTAAGAGGATGAGGATGGACATGTTGAGATGCAAGTAAAGTCTCACATCATTCAAACAAGAGGATGGACATGGATTTATATATACACAGTTGTCTCCATTAGTAGAGAGGCCTTTTGGGTGATATCCAAAAGCAAAACCGTGAGGGCTTGGACCCAAAGCGGACAATATCTCACCAACATGGAGACATGTGTATGTGTGTGGTAACCTCTTATGCTCAACAAGTGGTATCAGAGCTAATGGTTTGATCAGGTGACCGGCTCGACGAGTATGATGGCCGGCAAGTGGATCCAAGTTTGGGATCCCTTGTGTTGAAAGGTGATTTAATGTATCTTTTAAATATTCCAACATCATTTCATGCTCATACATGTTCGTGTTCATGTTGGGATGCAAGCAAAGTCCCACATCATTAAATTAAGAGGATGAGGATGGACATGTTGAGATGCAAGTAAAGTCTCACATCATTCAAACAAGAGGATGGACATGGATTTATATATACACAGTTGTCTCCATTAGTAGAGAGGCCTTTTGGGTGATATCCAAAAGCAAAACCGTGAGGGCTTGGACCCAAAGCGGACAATATCTCACCAACATGGAGACATGTGTATGTGTGTGGTAACCTCTTATGCTCAACAAGTGGTATCAGAGCTAATGGTTTGATCAGGTGACCGGCTCGACGAGTATGATGGCCGGCAAGTGGATCCAAGTTTGGGATCCCTTGTGTTGAAAGTCTTCCTAAACGGTAGAGGGTTAGGAGGCGTGTGCCGCTGTCATGAGGGAGGTCATGATGGAGCGGCATCCAAGTTTGGGATCCCTTGTGTCGAAAGTCTTCCTAAACGGTAGAGGGTTAGGAGGCGTGTCCTGCTGTCTTGATGGAGCGGCATCCATGTTTGGGATCCCTTGTGTCGAAAGTCTTCCTAAACGGTAGAGGGTTAGGAGGCGTGTCCCGATGTCATGAGGGAGATCATAATGGAGTGGCACCCAAGTTTGGGATCCCTTGTGTTGAAAGTCTTTCTAAACGGCAGAGGGTTAGGAGGCATGTCCCGCTGTCACGAGGGAGATCATGATGGAGCAGCATCCAAGTTTGGGATCCCTTGTGTTGAAAGTCTTCCTAGACGCTAGAGGGTTAGGAGGCGTTTCCCGTCATGAGGGAGGTCATGATGGAGCGGCCACCATCGGATAATACTCGTAGTTTTCGCTGCAGGGAAGGGGGTAAAACCGTGGTCCTTTATTTAAAGGGAGGATTGTTGGGATGCAAGCAAAGTCACACATCATTCAAACAAGGATGGACATGAGTTTATATACACACAGTTGTCTCTATTGGTAGAGAGGCCTTTTGGGTGATATCCAAAAGCAAAATCGTGAGGGCTTGAGCCCAAAGCGGACAATATCTCACCAATGTGGAGACATGTGTATGTGTGTGGTAACCCCCTGGGCTCAACAAGAAGAAGACCATCGCACAAAAAGACTATTCTGCTGCAACTTTTGATCAACGTCAATGGATGCAGGTATGTGTTACTAACCTTAACTTTGTAATCTGAGACAATGGTTCTTAATATTGATTAATGAAAAATTTCTATTTGCCTTAAGAAATTTATCCCAACAAGTGGTATTAGTTAGAGCCACCGTTGTCATTAAGTTATGGGGTTCTAAAGCGTATTATTACAATATTTTTCTTCATTGATAGTACGTGTATTTGAATGCGTTGGTCTTATGATAGCTTCCATTTGGTTTAATTGGTTGTATGAATACGAGAAAAATTGAATTTTTTTTAACATGATTGATTAAAGTTTTTTTTTGTATTGTGAAATCGTATAATTTTCCATGAATGTTATATATATATATAACAATTTTGTAATGATCCAAAAGATATTGTCAAATAAAGAATTTTTAAGCATTTTAATTTTCTCACCAGAAGTGAGATCATTGTATAATAATGAAATAAAAGAATATTTTCTTCACCGGAAGTAGGAAAATAATATGAAAAGTGAAAAGAAAAAGGATAGATAAAGACATGGTATTATGTTTGATCCTTTGAGTACCACCAGAAGTGGAATAATTTTGTCAAAGTCATTGTTGTAATATTAAATAATATTTAGGAAAATTATATGATCAATATATTAAATTCCACATTATCGAAATCTTAATGGCATTCGCATAAGAAT